TTTATAAACACTATTTACTAGAAGGAGTATAAAGATCAGAAGATAGGCAACACATTATATAGTTACGGAATGTTCAAGACAGTGAGTTGAGCAAAGTATAATAGGAAAATGTACATATTAGGCAGAGACCACTGTCGCTCGTGCATAAATCTTTCTGATATATTTAGTGGATCAAGCAGAAGTCGAAGTTGTATTCGTGCTCGTTGACTTCGTAATCTCTTTGTTATGTGCATGTTTCTATTAAACTTTGTTTAGCTCATTGTAAGGTATCCGTTCCATGTTGAAAATTCCCTACCTGTACATAATAGTCTGTAATGTCATTTAATATTTTCAGTTTTTAAAATCTGTTTGGCATGAATAATGAACAATGAATTACTATTTACACAAATAAATGTCAACTTACTTTGTATGTATATAGTTATCAAATCATTAAATGATTTGAATATTAAATTATTTATCTATGTTCCTGTTTTATTTTATATTAAACATTGCCTTTCAATATTATCTCTATTTCATTATTTTAATATTCTAAAGTTAATTTAATATTTAAAACATTTACCAATTGATAACAACATGCTACATATTAAGTTAAAAATACAGTTATTGTAAATATCTATTCATAACTAATTATTTACGCATTTTTTTTACCAAATCTATCAATTAACATTTTGTTTGAATTATTATGTATCGCGTATAATGTATTGCCTACCTGGTGATTTTCACATTCTTTCTATAGTGTGTATTGTTTGTAACTAGCATTTAGTTTCGTATATAGTGAAAATATGGTAGAAATAACATTTTTATTTACTATATACTGCCGCATTTAGAATTATCTATGGATATCCTAAACTAGCTGGGAGGTTAATTGAAGCTGGAATAAAACATAATACCAATTTAAATTATATATTCACTTAATGTATAATTCTTTATCTACTTTACTTAAAGTTTTCCAATTCTTCTATCTCTTGCCCTGTTAGTCTCTTATCTAACCTCAGTAAAGTAGCATGCCGTATTTTTTGCTCGGTATTTGTAATTGTGTAGAGGAGAGGGGGGATGAACAACACATGATATGTCCCGGTAATGGGAGCTGACGTGTAACCTGTCAGTTTCATAATATTTTTTAACAATGAGTTTTTCGTGTATTGCTTCTAGACGTCTATACCAACAAATAAATCCTTTTGCAAGCATTTTTTGTTGTCAGGTTTTGCTACCATCGATGTAGGGAAATTCTTACTCCTACACCGAAAGAAGCAAAATCGGACCACAAAAAATTCTTGCAAAGGTCTTGCAAAAACAAAAAAAGAATCGATAAGAAATATGGTTTTGAATTTGACAGGTTACACTACAGCTCCCACCACCGAGACATAGTACATGTTTTTCACCATCTTTTTATGTATCCATCTAAAAAAAAAAAACACGACGAGCCGATGAGATACTATGTTTTTTTTTTCAGTTACCCTATTTTCTTTTTCTGTGTTTGCCGCAAGTCCTTCTTTTCTCTTTTATGTTCAATTGTTTGTCGAGTTTAATTGGTACAAGATATATTAGGAAAATATATTGATGTAGAAACACCCTATACATCAATTTCCAAAATATTTTAAGACTCTCAAAGGGGGGTGGATTGACTCTATACATTTACAAATAATTATACCAAATTTAATAAATATAATAATTAATAAAAAAAAATAATTCATAATTCTTCAGTTTTCTTTGTATTCCCCATTCTTCCCTATCTTATTTAATTTTCCTTTTATACTTAGTTTGCAACTGTTTTGACTTTACTTCACTTTACTTTTCCTCTTTTTTTGTGTCATCGGCTTCAACTGCTAAGGTTATTTTGCCTCGTGTTCTGTGTAGCCTTTGTTACTGTTTTTCAGCTCCACTTTGGGAACAGCACTATTAATAAGAATCCAACAGTGAATGGTCGAGTGGGGAATCTTACTAAGCCATCAGAATTAATTTTAAATAATTAAATTAAATCAAATGGTGGGATTCGAACCTGGGACCCTTGTATTTTTATTACTATAATTTTATTTTCATCCCTTGTATTTTTTTTTATTTTAATTCAATATCACTTTTATTTTTATTTCATCCTCCTTTGTTTGTTTTAATTTTACTTTTACTTTATTTTTATTCGTTATAATACCTTTATTTTTCTTCTTCCTGATTATATATGATTTCATTTCTTCTTTATCTTTATCTTTTCCTCTTGAATTTGTTTTCTTTTTTTTAATTTTCTCTTTAATTTTATTTTATAATTCTTCACTTCTCTTTCTTTTACTAATTTTATTATCTTCTTTTTCTACTTTCTTAGAATCTGTATTTTTTATTACTTTCTTCTTCTTCTTCTTCTTCTTCTTCTTCTTCTTCTTCTTCTTCTTCTTCTTCTTCTTCTTCTTCTTCTTCTTCTTCTTCTTCTTCTTCTTCTTCTTCTTCTTCTTCTTCTTCTTCTTCTTCTTCTTCTCACTTCTTCTTGTTCTTCTTCTTCTTATTCAATTTCCACCTGTATATTTCCTTCTTCTTTGTCTATATTCTTTTCAACTTCCTTGGTTTCTATATTCCAAATTTTTGTTAATTTTTATTTACTTTATAATTTTCTAATTTGCGTATTTCTTCTTTCATTTCCTTTGTTTCTTCACTATATGTTCCTATCATTTCATCTTTCTTCTTTATTATTTCTTTATCTTGTTTCCTATCTCTATCCATTTTATTACTGTTTTCATCTAAGTTATCCATTTTTTTATTCATTTTCTTACAATTCTCATCCATTTTCTTCATTAACTCTTCATCTGCTTTCCTATTTTCGTCTAATTTCTTCAATAAGTCTTCCTTATCTTCTTTTCTATTTTCATCTAATTTCTTTAATATTTCTTTTTTATCTGCATGTCTTTATGTCCTTATTTCAATCAGCGTCTTCACAATTGAATATATCTTCTTTTACCTCATATTATGCAGTTCTATCTTTTTCTTTCATTACTGTTTTCTCCCGCAGATGTGTTTCGTTAATAACAATTTTTTTTAAACCTTGCTGTTCTATATTCCATTGTTTTACTTGTCATACGTTCTCATCATCTTCTGTTTTTCCATCAACCTTCTTTCCTCCTCGCAAGTCCATCTCATGTGTAACTTTCAAACTTTCACAAATTATATAAACAATACCTGTTTGTATTTTATTTTATAATTCTTTACTTCTTTTTCTTCTACTAATTTTATTATCTTCTTTTTCTACTTTCTTAGAATCTGTCTTTTCAAATACTTTCTTCTTCTTCAATTTCCACCTGTATATTTCCTTCTTCTTTGCCTATAATTATTTCAACTTCCTTGGTTTCTATATTTCTTTCTTCTTTATTTAATTCCAATTTTTTTTATGTTTTTATTTACTTTACATTTTTCTAATTTGCATATTTCTTCTTTCATTTTCTTTGTTTCTTCACTATATATTTCTATCATTTCATCTATCTTCTTTATTATTTCTTCTTTATCTTGTTTCCTATCTCTATCCATTTTCTTACTGTTTTCCTCTAATTTAACCATTCTCTTATCCATTTTCTTATAATTCTCATCCATTTTCTTCATTTATTCTTCATCTGTTTTCCTATTTTCGTCTAATTTCTTCAATAAGTCTATTTTCATCTCATATTATGCAGATTTCTTTAATTATTGTTTTCTCACGCAGTTTTTTTCTTTGGTAACTATATCTTCTAAACCTTGCTGTTCTATATTCCCTTGTCCTACTTGTCCTACGTTCTCATCATCTTATGTTCCCTAAACCAATCTTCTTCTTCCTCCTCGCAAGTCCATCTAATGTATAACTTTTAAACTTTCACAAATTTTATAAACAATACAGTCTTTTCCTCTTTGACTTTCTAGAAACTTCACCACCCCAGTATAATTTAATTTTAATAATAATTTTGATGACATCAGGAAATTCTATATCAATATGTTTCTTAACTACTTGAAATCATCCATAATATTTCATATTACTAGGAGACTATATTGTATCATTAATACTTCTTAGAATATTTTTCTCTGTAGATAGTTTCTTCTATTACCAAATAAAGAAGAAATACCAAGCTATATTCAAACATAAATTTACGTAGAAATTATTATAACTTTAGTTTGTCACTTACTTTATATCTTTTATTCATATCCAATTATAAAAATCTCTTTACACAAACCCAAATTAAAATGAATCCTTTTAAGCAATTTCACAATTTATACTTTCAAACTTAATGTTTACCGGGTAAAATATTCTTCTTTTTTGTTCGTAAAATCTCGGGCATTATTAATCCATTACAAACTTTATTTCGTTAAGGAAGTTTTATTGAATTTTCGTCCATTAAAAAGGGCCTTTATAGAATAAAATAAGACGAAAACTGAGTAAATTAATCTACAATTTTCCAATTAATTAAGTAATCTAATAACTTTACGGAAATGTCATCAATCTAACCGAAGCTAATTAATTAGCGGATGATGAAGACGATTATTATTCTAAAGCTAATCGGTGTTGGATAATTAATACGGGATATGTCGTGGATATGTATGTCTCATATAATTGATATTTTAAAATTAACAAATCTAAATTATATAAATACCTATTGTTATGGTGAAATTATATAAAATTTTCTTTACAACAATATTTAATTTGGGACTGACTGATATTTCCCTATTTTTCACTCTAGCCTAATCACTTATTAGGTCATTCAGTTTGCTGTCTAATTTTTAACGTAAAATTTGCATTTTCTTCTTGGGAACATTAGATACAAACAGTACGTATGGGCTGATTTGGTCTTTTTAGCACAAATATACTCGTAGATTTTTTGTTTTTTAAGACAAGAGTTAATCTACCGAATGTATAAAACATATTTTTTTCATTTTTGGTTTAGCAGGGTGGAATTCTTTGAATAATAATAGTTATTTGATTGTATATATAATATTAAAATACGTTTTATTTTTAATTTGTTTGTAATCACTAATTAATTCAATATTTTTAATTACAGGTCGTACTCCTCGCTACATTCCTCGCAGTAGCTCGTGCAGGTATCATCGGCGCGCCCCTTGGTGCTCCACTTTCCGCTCCCTTACAAACTAACTACATCCACCACCCAATCTCCTACGCATCTCAACCCTTCCCCGCTCCACTCACATACGCCGCTCCTGTAGCCAGAGTAGCAGCTCCTCTTGCAGCATCTTTTGGTTACGCCGCGCCAATTGCCAAATATGCTGCTCCATTAGCATATGCCGCACCCATTGCTAAAATAGCTGCCCCAGTAGCAGTTGCAACACCAGTCGCCAAAGCTGTAGTTAACGAAGAATACGATCCTAACCCGCAATACTCTTTTGGTTACGAGGTTGAAGACCGTTTGACAGGTGACAGCAAAAGTCAAAGCGAAACTCGAAATGGTGATCTTGTACAGGGTATGTAACTCAATATTTTTTGTCAATTTTGCACAGACCACGTATTATTAGTTAAACAGTTTAAGTACTTATTTCAAAACTAATAATTATTTCTTTTACAGGTTCTTACTCTTTGACCGACCCCGACGGTACCCGTCGTACCGTAGACTACACTGCAGACTCAATTAACGGTTTCAACGCAGTCGTACGCAAAGAACCACTCGTAGCCAAGGCTGCAGTAGTCGCCGCTGCACCCGTAGCTAAAATAGCTGCAGCTCCAGTCTTCCACGCTGCACCAGCACAACTTGCTTACGCTGCACCAGCTCATTTTGGCTACGCTGCGCCAGTAGCTAAAATTGGCGCACCATTGGCTGTAGCTGCACCTGTAGCTAAACTGGCTAGTCCAGTGTCGTACTCTACCTCTTTGATCCATTAATAACGAAGTGATAAATTGTAAAATATTTTTGAAAATCTTAAAAAACCAACATGGAAACAGATAGTTAAGGTCCATCCGAATTAATTGATATAAAACATTTTCTTATTAAATAATTTTTTCTTTTAAAAGTTATATAAGTTTTCTTAAAACATTTTTTAAATTCTAAATATGAATAAAATATTTCGTTGGTGAATAAAGAAATTCCAATACAGAATAGTATAAGAAAAATACTTACTAATAAAAATTTTAGTATAGTAGTGGGACATTAGGTCATTTTATTTTTTAAAATTAAGATTTTCAAAAATATGGTAGGATAGGTTTAATGGCTGTATGATATTTCTTTGTGAAATAATTTTGTATAAATAATTTATTTTTTGAATAAAATTAGTGAATTGCAACATTTTTTTTTTCATAATTTAATGAAATCTATTATAATTAGTAAAATTTATTTCCTTTAGATAAATACAACGCGGTCTATATGGAATGGGTAAATTGTACCTCCAGAGTCTATAGCGAAAAATATTAATTTGTTTACTAAATAATTGGTTAAATATTATTACTTACTGGGATACAGGGTGTTAAGTTATAAAAATAATTGAATAATGTTTCAGTTATTTTTTCACACATAAACTTAAAAGTATAAATAGGTTTTTGACTTGGGAAAATTGAATAATATGTTTGGTGTATTGTATAGAGGACTATCTTAGTTTAACAGGATTGATTATTGACGCCCAGTTATAAAGTAAAAGTTCTATTTATCTACGATCATCCCTAGAAAATTTGCATTTTCACAATTATTATTATCGTACCTAAAGGTATACATACTTTTAAACAATGGAAATTTCATTATAAAAAAATACAATTGCGTTTAAAAAAGGACAATGCCTTTGAAATGTTGTTTTCAAGGGTATAATACCACAAGAGGTGAAAAATTAAAAAAAAATGTTTTTTAATTGTTTGAAAATTTACAAAATTTGTTTGGGAACAATGTTCTCAAAAAATTCTCATCTCGCGCGGTATTTGGAAAGATTGTTTAACAATATAAACAAAAGAATTTTAATAAACAAAATTTGCTTCGTTTCCATAAGATGAAAATTAAAGTGATGTCATTTTTTATTTACAATGTATATTTGAATAACCCAAACGATTTTTGTCCATTTTTTGTCAATTTTTGTGTCATAGTTTTGTTATATTTTACATTGACGTTTAGCTGGATTTAGTAAAAACACAATTTAGTGTTGTCATATACAACTTGATCTGATTGGCGCGTATTGGAATAAAAGATCATTATCATTGTTTGATGTATTATAGTGTTAAATAATCAAGAGTACTATAACCAGACCTTGATAAATAGTCGACTATCTTCTTGTATCTAAATTTTGAGTGTTTAAAATAGTGGCGCGCAAAGTCGACTCTGTTCTTTGTTTACTACCTTACCCGCGATATGAAGTCTAGCACTTGCTATATAGAGACAAACGCACTCCTTCGAGAAGCTACCGGAGAGATCGCTGCGCGACGGCTGAGTCATAGAGAAGGAGTTCCCGGACGTTCTAAATCAGCCATACTCAACGTGCGGATCTCCAAGCTTTTTTGCGGCATGAAACACTATTATTAAAAAGATGCGTTTTATAACTATAGGTTTCCGTTTTTAAAATTTTCGGCAAAATGAGCGAAAACATACATAGGTCCCTGCATTAAATATAACGCTAAATTTTAAATAAATGTTTAAATCATAAAGTTACTACAAAAATAAGATAGCTCCACTTTTGCCATTTTGGGCTTATACACTTTGGTCTCCAAAATATTTTAAATAATATACGGCATAAACAAAAATGTAAAAAAATGATAAATAAATGATCAAAAAATTAACTTCATATTGATACATTCGCAGTATGCACAAACAAGATAAATGACATTTTTACCGTAATATAATCATAACATTGTGTTTAGTTGCTTATAGTATGCCTACAAAAGCCAGATAAGAAACATATAACTTATTTTTGCTAAATGTATTTAGTTCGATTCATAATAGTGTTTCGGCCAAAACAAGATAAAGGCCAGAACACCTATTTTTTTTTAATATATTTGTTGAAATACTTCAATATTTTGTCCAAGTTATTTGTTTTGTCTAGAGCTGTCTCTGGCTTTTCTCGATTGGTCCGAAATCAACAAGGTGATTACGTCACCCTTTCTTTCTACGATTGAGATAACTTTCAAAGACCAATAGATGATGCTCGAATCGCCGTGGTGAATGAATGATAAGCCGTAACAAATACTTGGTCAAGCTATAACGAGCAGGGATGCTGACGCTCCTCTTCATATTATTTTTGCGTTAAAACAACCAGAAACACTCCTTAAATTACCGAAACACCAGCCACGCCGGTATACGGACGCCTGAAAAGCTAAAAAAAAGCTCTGAAAATACTTACAAAAAATGCAAGACATTAGTAATGCCAAGAAGAAAGATTTACTAAAACTTTTCAAATCAGGTACTACGCACACTCTACCTTTACCCAATATTGTTAAATACACGGTACCTTTCATTGAAGATAGCGACACAAACATTGAATATTATAACCTGCATGAAGACAGCTAAAATAAGCAAAGTGACGTTTTTTTCTCTCTTTTTTTAGTTACATATCGTTTATACTTTGTGAAAACTAATTATGTTTTGAATACCTTTTTTTCATTCTAACAATGTGAGTTATCTTGTTTTTTCAGTAACCCAACGGGATATATTTGTGTTTTTATTTTATTTATTACAGATTCCCATTAATTAATTTTAAATAGATAACCCATAGAAATGATAACCTAAATAAAGGGTCATCATTCAATATATTGCGACCCGTGTAACATAACAAACATATGTATGTTGCCCGAAGGAAAAAAGGGTTAAGTATGGCTGTTCTAGATCGCCGTGAAACTAATAGTACAGAGCTGGTTTTACATAAATAGCGCGAGTTTGTCCGATATAAGTGAAGTTTTAATTTAAGTGTTGTACAGAAAAGATAAATTGTAATAAGTAATAAATAAATTAATTAAATAATTTATAAATTAATTGTTTTTAATAAATAAACTATTTTTAAATTAAACAATCATTACAATATCAATTTGTCGAGATATAATTTTGTCATTAATATAATCTAAGTAGTCTGAGAGCTTACCTCGATTCTTTGATTATTAATGACAAAATTACGTCAAGATAAATTGCAAAATTTAGTAACAATAGAAATAGGCGCTAATTGATAAAAGTCGAGTTAAATTTAAATACATTGCTTCTAGAGCCCTAGATGTAACTTAATAATACACAATAAAATAACTATTTAAAATATTATTTTAAAATAATCTTTTAAAATAATTTTTTAAAATAATTTTTTTAAATAATTTTTTAAAATAATTTTTTAAAATGATTTTTTAAAATAATTTTTTAAAATAATTTTTTAAAATAATTTTTTAAAATAATTTTTTAAAATAATTTTTTAAAATAATTTTTTAAAATAATTTTTTAAAATAATTTTTTAAAATAATTTTTTAAAATAATTTTTTAAAATAATTTTTTAAAATAATTTTTTAAAATAATTTTTTAAAATAATTTTTTAAAATAATTTTTTAAAATAATTTTTTAAAATAATTTTTTAAAATAAATTTTTAAAATAATTTTTTAAAATAATTTTTTAAAATAATTTTTTAAAATAATTTTTTAAAATAATTTTTTTAAATAATATTTAAAATAATTTTTTAAAATAACTTAATAAAATTAATGTTTTAAAATAATTTTTTAAAATCATTTGTTAAAATAATTTTTTAAATAATTTTATAAAATAATATTTGAAAATAACCTTTTAAAATAACTTTTTCAAGTAACTTTTACAAATAACTTTTTAAAATAACTTTTTCGGTTCATTTTAAAATGTTCCACGAGATTTACTAGCTTATACTTTGACAATAAATATAGTTGACAGTAGCTGTTGCTGTCAACATAGGTCAATATCAAACACCATGTATAACAGTCGATATGAGATACTGAAAATAGTTGATTCTCAAACTAATAAATAATTAATTTTATTAATTATACTCATGCAAAATTTTCATGTTGATTAAAGTGTTTTTGAAATACTAATATTGGTTGTCATAATTAATTAGAATAGAGTTATGATTATTATTTGTTTTCATTAATTTTTTACATAGTAAACAAGTATTGATAAACCTAACCTCTTAATTAGAACACTTTTCTACCTTGTTGCAGACGTCCAAGACACTTTAACCACCTCTTCATTTGCTCACAACTTTGTGCTTTCACAAAGTTATAAAAAAGTTAAACACCATCAACGATTTTTACTAATGATTGATTTATCTGTAGAGATTGTATTGCTTTTCCAGCCATTGTCGATCAAAACAGTACGAAACTTTTTAATTACCGCCATTTTGACATGGCTGCTGCGCTTGCGCTCATCACATGATGAAAAGGTCTATTAAAAGTTTAGGTAATTCTAAAAATACTTGTAATTTAGGCAGACACCTTTGAGAGGGTTTAATTGCCGGCCAACATTAAAATAAGTCTTATTTACTGTAGAAAAAGATTTTTAATTCATATTTCGGAGTATAATAAAAAAAATGCATTTATTTAGATGACTTATGTTTAAACTTTTAATCTCTCAAGATTAAAAATTAATACAATTAAGTAATAATGATACTTTTATAGTTTTTAAACCATATATTTATGTGATTCCATTAAATTACAATATAGGTATCATTTGACATGATAAAATTTTTCGTAAATATTTGTAATAAATTGTTATATATTATTATAAGCGATTCCAAACATCTATCAATATGTTCTCGGTGGCGCAAAGCGCACAGTGGTCGTAATCTGAATAGTGTGGGTAACAAGTTGGTGGTTCGAGCCCCGAAAATTTTAGTTTTTTTTTTTTTTTAAGGAAAAATATTATTGTTTTATTATTTCACAGTTTTGGGGGTCTATTCTGTAACAATTCCTTTATATTTAACGGACTTTAAAAATATTGGCGGACTTTAAAAGTATATTTGTATTCGTTGATTTA